TGCTTTCAAAGTCGTCGGCAACCCTCGGTTCGATTACAAGTCCCAATACTTTGTCCTCACACAGAGCAATGGCAACAAGTCGGTGGTGAAGCACATCTACCTCACTAAGGTGAAAATGGCGCAATCGGGGCTCCATAAGCACATCGTGGGCCAGGGGTATGAGATCGCTTGGGGTGCGGGTCACAAACAGATTGAGCGCAAAGCCTTGCAGTGGATGCTGGAACAAATGGGTGGTCTACAGTTCCGACACTTCTCTTTGACGAGTGAAAAAAAGAGATCTGCATCCGCAGCCGCGCTTGGTAACACCACCAGTGAGGATGACCAGGATGCTGGTTGGGAGTTCATCATCAAACACGGTGAGCGGGATCGTGGCCAGCTGAAGCAGTTGCGCTGGATTCACAAGCATATCGGTAAGGAGGGGAGCCCCATTAAGGGCTGGTCGGAAAAGTTAGTTCAGAAAGCTTTGGATTCCTTAGCCAATGAGGGCTGCCTAGCCAGGCTGACCACACGGTATGACCTCACAATCCAGGACTTCCGCCCCACCTTTTTGGACACCATCTTCAAGGTACTCGTGCCACATTTAGCTGATCATAGTCTGTGGCTTCTCGGGGAGCCGGGTGTCGGAAAGACTCCATTAGCTCGGGTGACCGCGATGATGTTCAGTCGTTACCATGGTGGCGAGGGTTGTTTCCGTTCGTCTTCGGATTTTGACTTTTTCCGCGGGATTTTCTTTGACAAGACTATCCCCGCTGTGTACGACGACGGCGACATCTGTGTGGAGAGCGTGAAAAAGAAGAAAGCGTTCGCGGATGTTGGTGATGAGGAAGGCATGTTGAAGGAGCGGTGGAATGCCGCCAAGTTCGTCAAGGGCCAAGCGCGCATTGTGGTTGACAACGCCTATGTAGCACTTGAGGTTCCTTTGGACGCGTCTGACATCTCGCATGAGGATTTCGTCAAAATGATTCGGCCAGTCCTGGGGTACATCTCCGACACGGACACTCGCGCCATTCTCAAACGGGGTTGCTTCATTGTCTTCACCAAAGACAGCATCTACTTCAGGCCTCCATCGCAGCACGAGAAGAGCGTTTCTCGTCAGAAATGGGCTCTCAAGGACATACTTCTGGACGACTGCAAGCACAGGTTCAACAACTACAAGAAGAATGGTCCTCCGCCAGTGGATTTCCCTGCTAGAGCAGCCGCAGAAAAAGCATGGCTAGAGGGGGTGCTTCAGGAGCACGACAGCAATCACACGGTTGAGGAGCACTTCACCAACACTCTACCACAGTTTGTTGTGAAAATGGAAGCTGAAGAGTTTTCTGAAGCTCATGAAGGCCTAGCCGCCATGTGTGATGGAGTCGCACTTGACGCAGACAGCCCTCCCCCTAAGCTTGGTCCAGCACCCATGACACACGAGGCGACGGTCAAAAAGGAAAAGTTCGACCAGGAGTATGCCTCGTTTCTCCTTCGCAGCAACACCTTCAGCAAGTCCCTCGGTCCCAATGCAGTGCTGGAATTGTCACCAACATCGTCATGCAAGGGAGCATCGCAGAACACGTCTTCGCCTCCGCCCGCAGTCGCAAGCACGTCACTTGGCCCACATGCGCTGGATTCCTCTCCTATTCCCAACCCGGACTTCTTATCCGAAGAGGACCTCATGGATGTCGCAACCGAGTCGGAGCCGGATGTGTTCGAGCACGGCGGCTCCCTGAATGAGCACAACTGAAATGTTTCACCGTCTAGTCTAAGACACCATCGCGAAGCCCAAGTTCGGACTCGTAGTATTAACATCTGGCAATTATTATTCAAAAAGAGTGTTGTTACACAAAGAGGATATATCGTTTAAGGCTATCAGTACACTTACTAGAAGGGCTACGTACCACACGACGAAGCGTGAAGTTTTGAGAATAGCTGCAGTGATGACAAAGTGAAAATCCGATGCTTGCATAGGCAGCTCTCATCTGCGCATATGTGAATAGGAACAGCAAAAGTGTATCCCATGCACATGTCTGCAATCAGAATCAAGTGGGCTTAGAGTTCCTGTACAGATTTCTGCCATGCCGAAACGCAAGTATCCGAAGAGTAGTAAGGCAAAGAACCAGGTCTGGCCTCTTCCAAAACGAGGAAAGCGTCGAGCCGCTTTAAAGAAGCCTGCCGCCAAGAACACCTACGAGGCGGTGCCTTATGTTCGACATGGTCAAGTCTCGACTAAGTTTCGCGCTCATCGGCAACGCTGGGGTTACTCCACTCAAGGCTTCATGAGCATGAACTACCGAGATTTAGTTCGCACACTACAGAAAGAGAATATACTTCCGAATTGGACAAAGAAGCAATGTCCGCGATGTGGCTATGGGAAACTGGGCAAGCTCAAGTACGTGAAGTGTCGCAAAGCATGGCTTCATCAGTGCAGTTCCCGCACATGTCACAAGTACCTTCAGCCACACGACTTCCATCCCATCTTCTTCCAGGGCTCCGGCAAGTCTCACACCTCACTCAATGTACAAGCATCCATCTTGTATGCCGCAGTAGCAGGTGTACCCGTCAACTCGACGCACTTGGTGCTGGACACAGATCACAAGCCCGTCGAGAGGATCTTCAAGAATCTTGACGTAGCCAGGGCCATGTACGTAGACAAGGAAGAGAAGTCCATCACCTATGGCGGAACCCGGAACAGTATATGGAAAGACGTCGAGGCTGATGAGGTTGATGTGGGAAAGGCCGTGGACGAAGCAGCTCTTGATGCAAGGCAGGCCTTGAAGTGGGAACAATGGTGTGGAGTGGTTGAAAGGGGACGACCCTCCTCACTCAGGCTCTACAGGTTGAACCCACCTTGCACGAAAGCTCGAGCACCAGGTCCTGGTCCAATCAGGAAAGAAGAGTGGCGTAAAATCGGTTCTTCTGTTCTTCGTGACCGGCATGTCGTTTTACATACAGATGGAGCCCGTGCATACAAACTTCGCATTCCTGGAGTACATCATTGTCATGTCGTACACAAGAAGAAAAAGATGATCGTGAACAAGAAGGTCAGGATATCGTTCTTCAGGCAACTTTTTTTGTAAGATATACTAAACACGCAATGTGGGGGATATAAATAGATCACATCCATGGTCTTCTGTGTGAGTCTATATATAAATTGTTTTTGTTTGTGAGAAAGGTTGTCTGGGTCAAGCCGAACTACACGAAGGTGTACAACATCAAGCTGCCCAACAAAACCATCTTGAAGGTGAAG